CGTTTACTCTCTTGCACTCCCTTCCTCCGCCATCTCTCCGCTCTAGCGCATTTACTCTCTTGCCATCCCTTCCTCTGCCCTCTCTCCGCTCTAGCCCGTTTACTCTCTTGCCATCCCTTCCTCCTCCATCTCTCCGCTCTAGCCCGTTTACTCTCTTGCACTCCCTTCCTCCGCCCTCTCTCTGCTCTAGCCCGTTTACTCTCTTGCCATCCCTTCCTCCGCCCTCTCTCCGCTCTAGCCCGTTTACTCTCTTGCCATCCCTTCCTCCTCCATCTCTCCGCTCTAGCCCGTTTACTCTCTTCCTCTGGGAGGAACTATGGAAGTTGGAAGTCCACACGTGGGTCAAAGTTGGAGAGTCCCGTTGTGGGACATCTGGAGGGGGTTTCCCAGAGGTGGCACGGACAGGCCTCGGTCCTGCCGTTGGGCGTCTCCTCCTCGCGGGAGGGCCGGAGGTGGATCTGGGACACCTTCTCCCGCCCCGCCCCCGTGTGTATCTCCGAGAGCGTTTTTCCCCGCTCCTTTTTTTTCCTCCGTCGTCCAGCGTCGTCGTCTCCTCCTCCTCCTTCCTTCCTCGCAGGTTCCAAGAGATGTGCTACAAGGCCTACCTGACGATCCGCCAGCACGCCAACCTGCTCATCAACCTCTTCTCCATGATGCTGGGCAGCGGGCTTCCCGAGCTGCAGTCCTTCGATGACGTGGCCTACCTCCGGAAGACCCTGGCGCTGGACAAGAGCGAGCAGGAAGCCCTGGAGTACTTCACCAAGCAGATGAACGAGGCTCACCACGGCGGCTGGACCACTAAGATGGACTGGATCTTCCACACCATCCGGCACATGCCGCTCAGCGAGGCCAGCCACGACTGAAAGGGACCCCCCTCCCGCCGCTCGGAAGACCCTTCCCTTCTTCCCTTCCCTTCCCGGGCCACGGCCCGACTTGATCCGAGACGCCCTCACGGTCCGCGTCCCTCTCGTTGGGACCAGACGAGAAGATCGGGAGAAGGTTACGCGGATTCTCTTGGCCTTCAAGCAACGGTGATCCGCCCAAGAAATCACCCTATGCTCAGAGACCCTTCCTCTCTCCTCCCACGGAAGCTTCCGGTGGCGGAAGGGGAGGGCTGAGGGGAAGGAAGAAAGATGGGTTGTCCTTTTTTCCTATCCGGGCAACAATCAAAAGACAAGGGTAATACTTGAAAATGTCTGAAGTCAGAAAAAGACTTTAAAATATATATATATATATATATATCTCGTAATTATTTTCTCTCTCTCTCTCTCTCTTTTTTCAAATAAAAAATGTTTAAAAACCCCCAAACCCGCACATTTGGATGTGTATCAGCCTCTCTAGAGATTTCTCTTTCTTCATAAAATCATCATCATCATTTTTTATTTTTATTTTTTGGGGGGCTTGCCGAGCTGCAACCCTCAATTTGTTTTTGTCTTCTACAGGTCTCCTTCAAGAAGTGAGGGGAGCCGACTGTCAGCTCATAAAACATTTTCTATGCCTGCACTCAATTTGTTTTTCTCTTCTACAGGTCTCCTTGGAGGAGTGAGGGGAGCCGAATGTCAACTCGTAAAACATTTCCTATGCCCGTTTTATGCCTGCATTCAATTGGTTTTTGTCTTCTACAGGTCTACTTGGAGGAGTGAGGGGAGCCAAATGTCAACTCGTAAAACATTTCCTATGCCCGTTTTATGCCTGCATTCAATTGGTTTTCGTCTTCTACAGGTCTCCTTCAAGAAGTGAGGGGAGCCGAATGTCAGCTTGTAAAACAACGCCCATATTTTAATCAAGTGGAAGGGCTACCCCTTATCAGAGGCATCGTGGGTAAAGAGTAGGAAAGTCCAAGCTGACGATAGCCTTGTAGTAAGGTTCCGTGCAGAAAATCCAACCAAGCCTGCACTCAATTTGTTTTTTTGTCTTGTACAGGTTCACCTTCAAGAAGTGAGGGGAGCCGACTGTCAACTCATAAAACATTTTCTATGCCCGTTTTCATAGTTGCCAATAGAAAGGTGGGGGTGGGGCTGGAAAGATGTTTGAAAGAGCAGGTCGCCTTGTAGCAGAAAATCCAACCAAGCCTTCGGGTGGGTGGGAGGGGTTTTGCAACCCTAAGTTCTATGCCTGCACTCAATTTGGTTTTTTGTCGCGTACAGGTCACCTTCAGGAAGCAAGGGGAGCCGACTGTCGACTCATAAAACATTTTCTATGCCCATTCTATGCCTGCACTCGATTTGTTTTTTCATCTTGTACAGGTTCACCTTCCAGAAGTGAGGGGAGCCGACTGTCAACTCATAAAACATTTTCTATGCCTGCACTCAATTTGTTTTTTTGTCTTGTGTACAGGTCACCTTCAGGAAGTGAGGGGAGCCGACTGTCAACTCATAAAACATTTTCTATGCCGTTTTCCTAGTTGCCAACCGAAAGGCGGGAGGGGGGAAAAGGAGTTTGAAAGAGCGGCGTAGTAGTTTGGGATCGAAAGTGTATTCCCTTCCTATCTTGCAAAGATTGTAACTAAGCGCCTGGCCTTTCCGCCACGCAAACTGGAGAACGTGATCGTCGACCTCTCGGCAACGGCCCTGTTTTCGGTTGGAGAATACGAATTACGATACACCCAGAGGGGGGCCACGGTAGAGAACCAGGGTCCAAAGGGACAGCGAATTAACGCAATCTCCGAGTCGGCTACACCCAGATCATGCCGAGATGTTCGCGCCTCATAAATCCTCGGGAGGTTTTATTTACTACCCCGTCCACCAGGCCTCGATTAACGTCAGGGGAGGGAAAGGGGGGCGGCCAATGTCAACGAGCCTTTTATTCCATCCGCGCAATAAAACCTTCGCGCCCGCTGACGGATTCACCAAGGAGGAAGGACGAGGGAGGGGAAAAGGAGGAAGGCGGCAAGGAGGAACGGAAAGGAGGAAGGACGTAGGATTCCTGTCTTATTACATAGCAATAAATCGATTCCATTTATAGCAGACCTTGCTGCTGATAAATCCGGAGTGGGGGGGGGGAGGGGGGGTGAGGGCAAGGATTGGAGGGGCCGCACGTATAATTAACCCGGGAGGCGCAAGGGCCTTGCTACTCCATTGCATAGCAATATTCCAAGAATTCATAGTGAACCCTGTCACCGATAAATTAAAAATCGGGGAGGAAAAGAGGGCGGGGGAGGGAAGAGGGGATCGGGGAAGGGGAGGCCACCACGAAAGCCCTCCGCGTGGGGACAACTTCGCACGCGTGGCCTTGCCCAAACTACACCCCGCCCTCCAAAAAAAGGCAACAACGCGACGCCGTTTGCCAAGGGGGGGGATCTGCTTCGCGAGGGAGAGAGAGAGAGAGACGGCGAGACGACAGGCCGGCGTTTTGGGGGGTCAGGGGGGGTTTCCCGGCTCAGAAGTTGTTGTCGATATTCCACACGTCGCCGCTCAGGGCGTTGACGGCTCCCTGCAGCGTCCTGGTGACCAGGGCCAGTTGCCGTCGGAAGAGGACTTCGTCGAACTTCTCCGGGGCGTCCCGTAAGAGGCCGACGTGCTCCAGGAGGGCCCCCAAGGTGTGGGGGCCCCGGCCATGGAGAATGTGCCGGAAGGGAGTTTCGGTCACCGCCACGTATTGAGAGAGGAAGTAGAATTCCACCTGGAGGAAGAAGGAGGGGAAGCGTTGGGAGGCGTCCATTGGATGGCGGCGGACCCCACCCCCCCTAAAAAGGGCCAGTGCCAGGCTGAAGGATTTGGGGAGGGGGTGTGTATCTCTCCTCACACTTGAGGGCCCCCAGAACCGTCGATTGATAATCTTGCAGGATTTGCGTCTGGGGGATACCGCGGAGAGAGGGCAGAGGAAGGGATTGCAAGAGAGTAAACAGGCTACAGCGGAGAGAGAGGGCAGAGGAAGGGATTGCAAGAGAGTAAACAGGATACAGCGGAGGGATGGCGGAGGAAGGGATGGCACGAGAGTAAACAGGCTACAGCGGAGAGAGGGCAGAGGAAGGGATTAAAAGAGAGTAAACAGGATAGAGTGGAGAGATGGCAGAGGAAGGGATTAAAAGAGAGTAAACAGGCTACAGTGGAGAGATGGCGGAGGAAGGGATGAAAAGAGAGTAAACAGGCCACAGCGGAGAGAGGGCGGAGGAAGGGACGAAAAGAGAGTAAACAGGCCACAGCGGAGAGAGGG